AGTGATTTTAAGACTTTTCTGGTACAGAACCCTTTTTTTCAAGTGGAAATTTATATCAAAGGCCAAAAACAGATAAAAGAGTAAAGCAAATAAAATCAGAGGTGTTTTGGTTGGATGGGGAGCAAGAGCGAGGGAACAATACTTGCTTCTTCACTGGCATCGCCCTTCCATTATGCCTGGCCCTTGAGTGGTAGTAGTCACAGAGCAGAACACAAGTGGAAATCTCTCCTCTAAAGAAGGGGTCAACAAACTTATTCTCCAAATAGCCAAGCAATAAATGCTTTAGGCTTTGAGGGCCACGTTATGGTTTCTATATCAACAACTCTCTTGTAATGTGAAAGCAGCCATTGACAACAGTAAATGAACGAACATGGCTGTGTTCTAATACAACTTAATTTATGCCCACTGTGATTTGAATTTCATGTAATTTTCACATATCGTGAAATCTTTTTTTTTTCTTTCTTTTTACCAACCATTAAAGAATAAAAAGCAAAAAACAGGTCAGTGGATTTGGCTCACAAGCAGTGGTTTGTGACCCCCGCTCTAGAGCAGCAATCTGAATAAGAACGATAGAGCTGATAAAGACTTGAATGAATAAACAAGCAGATACCTCTAGTGTTAGAGTGGATAAGGGCAATTGTTTGCCTGCTGATGATGGATAAGGTATGGAATAAAGTACCTGGCAGATGATGGTGAATTATACTTGGTTTAGAATCCAAACTCCTTGGCATGCTAAATAACCATGGTCTGAAGTTCTGGGATATTCTGGGATATTAAAACTTCTCAATTTCCTTTTCCCTAGACTTTGCTACTTTTTTTCTGTAAGTCTCAGATGGTTCTTTTTCCTCAAATATAACTCTCATTTCTCTGCTATTGTTTTACCAATTTTGGTTTTGATTCAAAAAGGATGCATAAGTACTTAACTTACCCACTGGGTTTATTTTCTTTCCTTGCATTAACTTCTTTTATCATGACACTTGGTGGTGGTAACTTAATCACACCTATAAATAGGCAAAGACAAAAAACATAATTTAACTTAAGATCTATGTGTTTACTTACAGGTAAAGATGCTTTACCACTGCTCATCTTTCATTTGAAATACCCAGCAACTCTTGTGTTTTTCTGGCAAAAATGTTAGCAGTCTGAGCTGACTGGTGGTGTGCTCCTGGTAATAATGCCACCAAAGGAAAAGCATCTGGGTGTCCCACTTGTTATTTGGAATGACAGAGTCTCACAAGTGGTTTGTCTGAATTTTGTCACTCAATCGATTGAACTACTTAATTTTTTTTGAACTAGTTGATTCAGTCAAAATAACAGGTAGACACAGCTTACAGTTTTTGACCCCTGATTTATTATTTGTGCTGATAAAGGTACAAGTCATTATGATAGTGTAGTCCACTGAACAATAGAATGGATCCTGCTTTTAAAGATTCTGTTGTATTAAATTGAAGCTGGGTAACATAGTCTCAAAATTTTCAGTGTGGCAAACCAAAAACATGTGCCTGCTACTTCTCATACACTGACCTTTCAGGACTCGAACAGCCCATCGAGCTTGTGTTTCTACTGTGGGTAGAATGGAACCCAAGGGTTTGATGAGGCCAATAACAGCCAGGGTTGGTTTCTGCAGATGTGCAGGAAAGATATACTTGTACAGTGATGCCTGGCCATCTTCAACCTTCACTACAGACTCATCGAGGAAGGGGAAAGCAAAGGTGTATCCAGTGGCCAAGACAATGATGTCAATGGGCTCTTCCTTTGGGGTGTTGTTAAACATGACGGAGTTTTCCTTCACCTCCTTTATGCTTGGCCTGATGCCCACTTTCCCAGTAATGATACGGCCTGGGAGCTCATCGTTCAGCACGGGCTCTCTCAGCTGAATCCTAAACAAAAACATGAACAGGGAAGAGATCTGCTGTTGAACAATTTGGCCAGCCCGCCCTCCTCCTTACCCTCTTCTCTTCATTCTGGGGTTCTCCCCTCGGCTGGACCAGAGTTTCCAGTCTTGGGAAAAGTTACCTCTGTGGGAGGGGATTCATGCATGTCTGAGAAAGATTATAAAATATGATTACCATTTACTAGAGTTTGGAAGCTTGAGGAGGAGCCAGATCTTTCTCTTGCTGACTTTCAGCATTGAGCTATCACCGTCATTCTAGAGATAGCTGAATGCTGAAGTCGTACAAGGGAAACCAGGCGCTTCTGTATTTGATGAGAACTGCTGGAAACTCTATGCAGTCCCCCCTCCTTCTAGGAAGCAATTATATAAGGAAAACATGCATTCGTTTAAAGGAATAAGGGCAGAATCATCTTTTTCTGGCTAAACTTTTGGAATCACAAGGCAAACATTTTGTGAGTTGGTTTTGTATAAGCTGAGCCATTTTTGGCTTATGGTGAATGCACAGAAAGAGAAGATATGGTAAAATGGAAAAAGCATTAGAGTATGAGGTAGTAAGAGTGGCTTCCTGTGCAAATGTTTATATTTAACAGAGCTTGAGCAAGTCATATAGTCCCTATAGGATTTCTTCTATTCATCTGTAAAATAGGAATACTAACACTTGTCATCCATAGTTCATTGGGTAAGATGGAGAGCATATGAAATAGTACATGTGCAAACAATTTTGAAAATGGTAAAGGACTGACTAAATCTAAGACAGAAGGAATTCATTGGGCTGCTTCCACATATTCTGAGGTTTATGGGATTAAACCAAGTTCTTTATAGTCCCACGAGTCACCATCCAGGCTGGGTAAAGCTTATAGAAAAAGCTCTGGTGGAATCAAAATGCCTGAGAAGCTTGGAGGTAGGAGGTGGAAGATGGTAGGTAAGAAGTAAGTAAGGAAAAAAATGGAGATAATAAAGAGAGGGAAGGAGAAGAGGAAAGCAGAAGTACATGTAGTAGAGAGGGGGCCGTGTGCCATCAATGGCCTGGGTGCCACCAGACCCATGGTGGTCCAGAGTGAAATCTTGAGGTTCTACAGGCTGCAATGTCATCTGGTAGTGGATTTCATTTTATAAACCTTGTGAATGAGGAAGTAAAATTTTTGGTTCTTGTTAATGGGATAGATAAGTCATAGGTTGTGATTAAAAGGACAGGCTGAAATCAAGGTCATCTTGATAAGGGCAAGAAGGCACTGCTCCCTGTCAAGATGTTATGGTTCTTCTACCTCCTACTTTAAAGTTACTCATTTGAGATAGTGGTTGAATATCTAGAGTGTTAAAATACTCTAGGACATACTTTTGAGCACTTATTATCTGCCAGGCTAGAGATACAGTGGCAAGTCCTAGGGAGCTTAACATGTCATGTGAGAAGACATGACAGGTGAACAGGTGATTGCAACTTTGTATACTAACTATAATTGTAGCAATAAGAACAGGGCATGGCAGCAATTGGGAGTCATCTGTAAAGGGTTTCAGTACAAACCATTGGTTTAATCGACAGTGAAATTCAGTCATACAGTTAGTTTTGGAGTTTGCGTTTACTTTTGTTTTTAACAGATTGTCTGGCTCTCGAGTGTACCAGCTGAATGAGTTCACTAAGCTAGCAGTACCTACACAATAAAGAGTTTCCTGCACAACCATTTAAAAATAAAAAATTTAGTTAACCAGTCTATTACTTTGCTGATACAAAGCAACTGATTTTGCTGGCCGGTTAGTTCACTTGGCTAGAGCGTGGTGCTGATAACACCAAGGTCAAGGGTTTGGATCCCTGTACCAGCCAGCCACCAAACAAAATAACTGATTTAACAGATTGTTTTTTTCCCCCCACCAAACTGGGGCATGATAAACTCGGCTCCATTGTCAATGTTTTGTTATATTTTGTTTGGCCTTATAATATCAGGATATACAACACCGGAAGGTTAGGCAGGTTACTTAACCTCTGTATGCCTTAGTTGGCCGGTTAGTTCACTTGGCTAGAGCATGGTGATGATAACACCAAGGTCAAAGGTTTGGATCCCAGTACCAGCCAGCCACCAAACAAAATAACTGATTTAACAGATTGGTTTTTTCCCCCCACCAAACTGGGGCATGATAACCTCAGCTCCATTGTCAATGTTTTTGTTATATTTTGTTTGGCCTTGTAATATCAGGATATACAACACCGGAAGGTTAGGCAGGTTACTTAACCTCTGTATGCCTTAGTTTCCTCATAGGTAGTCAGAGATACTAATACTAGCTACCTCAGTAGCTTGTTTTGATGATTGGTTGAAGTAATGCAATTAAAAGAATTTAGTGATTTAGTGCAATGCTTGGCACAGAGTTATCCCAATAAATATTAATTACTGCTACAATTATTGTTAGGAGGACAATGCAGTAGCCTAGTAGCCTCAGTGCGAGGTGTTATGGACTTGATGAAGGTGGTGGCAATCAATAAGAAAAGGAAGGGGCAAGTGGGTGACCTTACTTTGCAAGGAAATATTGCTAGGATTTTCTGACCTATGGGACTGAGTAAAGAACAGATGTGTCCTGTAGCTCTTGTTGGATGGCTGTGAAAGTCACAAAAATAAGAAGCCTGAGAAGTTGGTTTTGGAGGAAATATGACAGCTGGAATTCACAGTAAAATTTATGAACATTCAGTAAAAAATAAATACTTTATGTTGTGAGTGTATGTTAGGCATTTTTATTCCTTTAATACTTATCATGGCGTCAAACACTTGTTTGATAGAGGAATGCATTTTGCTCCGTTGAGTAACATCAAGAATGATACCTTTTTTGCCAGGTGGCTGGCCTCCACTGCTATGTCTGTGCCAGAATTTCCCATTCCTATCACAAGGACTCTCTTGTCCTTAAATATATCTGGATGTTTATACTGTCGACTATGAAAATACTGGCCTCTAAAGGAATTTATACCTATAGGAAAAAAAATAAAAGTCAAGTAGAGAATTTACCGGATTGGTGAATGAAACAAATACTTTTCAGTTGATAACATTCTTTTGGCAGATGACATATGTTGTTTTTACTAGTATACTCAAGTTTGAAAAAAATCTGAAATATGAATACATGACTTTATAAGACATTAGTGGGTAATTACTCCATCTTACCAGATAGGCCTCCAGTTTTACTTACTAGATAATTAACTCCTAAGCTGAAATGTGGTGTAAAGACATATTAAGCAAAAGTGTAAGGAGTCACTGCCATTTAAAAGTTGATGGAAGTCAATGGGGCAATAATATTCTATTTACTAACAGTTAATTTATATATGGCTTTTCACAAGCAAGGAGCAAAAGCAAAGAAATTAAGGGGAGTCATGAGTCAGTGCCTCTGTTCAGAAAACTTTTCTGGACATCTGCTATGTGCCTGGCACTGTGCTAGATGAGGTGGGGTAAAAAAGACAAATGAAATGTGCTCCCTATTCACAAAGATCCAGGTGAGCTGGGGATGTTCACTGGTAGTCCTTTTTGCTGACTGACTGTAACTCAGGCTGAGTTTGCTGAGTCAGTCAGAATTGGCTCAGAGAAAAGGAGACTATGTTAGTTACACCAGGGTCAGATCTACCGGGCTAACTAGATAGGATGTCTCAGTCAGTTATTGCCAAATCTCACCGAAACATCAAATGGAGAGTTTTTGTAAATACCTTGAAGGGCATGTTACACAATCAGAAGTAATACGTGCTAAACAAAGAACCTATTTTTTCTAGAAAAAGTGATAAAACATGTGGATTCTCAGGGGATGAATGTGTATGCTTGTGGGAAGTATCCTTACCAAGGCCTAGAGGCTCTTTAGCTCACCTTGAATTATTAGAAATCTAACGTAAATCCCAGTTGAAAACCTAACCACAATCCAGAGTATTTAGAATTTAGCAAGGATGCAACCAAGTTCAAATATTAACTCAGCTCAGGAGCGCCATATAGATCAGAGAACTGCTAAGAAGGGAGAGCTAGAATACCCTAAGGAGAATCATAGAATTATGTCTGTGTCTTAGATTATCTCTGGATCAGGCTGTTTGGGTCACAGATGGATAATGAGACTCTGTGGCTGAGACACGTATTGAACTAATATTTTCACCTCTCATCTCATAGGAGGACAGAGTAAGAACTTACTTACATTAAGTGAATGTGGCCGTGTTAGTAAACACCAGAACGTGTATACATAAATGAAGAAAAGTAGTCATTTTGGGAAATTATACATTTATTCTAACTGATACCTTTTACTTTTACTAGTACTTTTTGGAATGCCTCCTTTTGAATTGCTTCCAGAACTTGTGATACATGTTTTTGAATATCATGAATTTGAATTTTTGTAACAGTTCACCACCACCCCAGGGAGTATGTACAGACTAAACAAGTCTGTGGAAGGCAGGGAAGGAGACGGTGAGGTTGGGAGGACTCCGTTTCAAGTCCAGAATCACAGAATGTTAGAGCTCAAAGGCTCCTTAATAATCGTTTAGCCACAGATTTCAAATTGGTAGTGTCTGGTAAGATGGATATCAGGAAGGACTGCAAGTATTGTAGAGCTCTCTTTGCTTCATTTTTGATGTATGCTATTGGGTAAGGTGGTCCAAGCTCCTCAATTTATGGATGAAAAAACATGCTTAGCAAGGTTAAGTGGGAGGCCCAACATTTTAAGCTAGTTAGTTGGATAACCTGGTCTCAAGCTCATCCTTTTCAAATGAGCACATTGGATCAGTTGCTTTCAGGGTATACTTTATTCTAATCTAATATAACTTGTCTAACTTCAGAGGGCAGATCCAGGACTGTGGGAGGTAAGTGAGTTTACTGTAAAATGATTATTAGTATCACTCCGTGTCATATGCATGCAGACTCTCCCAAAATTCTACTCATTCCTCCAGTATAGGCTGCATGTTGTCTTATCTACCTCTTAGCACCCAGTGCAATATACTATAGGTGCTGAATAAATGCAGTTTACTCCTTTTGCCATAGAACTTTCTGGATTCTTGGGGTGACCCTACACCAGGCACTCCTTTCTGGGAGTTTGGGTGGCTGGCTGCTGAGGGCTTTGTTCTGCAGGCAAGAACTGACAAAGGATTGGGTTGTCTTGTGGGATAATCAGCATCCTTCACTGACTGTTTTCCATCCGAAGCTATTGATCCTCTCTCAGGGATGTTAGAGAACAATTTCCTGCATTAGGAAGAAGACTGGACTTGGTTCTTTGCAATTCAATGATTCCATTCTATGGCAGTTTTCAGGATATGCTTTACCTTAATTTGACATGACTTGTGTAAACTCTCGGGGGCAGATCCAGAACCATCGGAGATACATTAGTTTGTCATAAGATGAGTCTTGGGATCACTTCAGGCCATATCTAGATGATTTGGAGAGAGGTTTCCTAAAGTTTTAACTTTTTTAGTGCTTATGCAAACGAAGTAAACCAAACCATTGCATTTCATATTCTTTTGAATTGAAGTCCAGTTGAAATTTGGCATAGATTAACATGGATTATTGTTGCAGAAGCCATATAAAGAAACTGAGACCCAAAGATGTTTTAACTTGTCTTCCAAGACTCACCTCCCTGCTGACTACTGACTCAGTACCTCTGATCTAGCTAATTGCTATGGCTCATATAAAACAGACAAATGCAAAAAATTAAGTTACTTTTTCCTTTATTCATAGATTGACCTTTATGGCCTCTAAACTCAACTTTGGCAATGTGCTGCTTCTAAGGCTTGCAACTTGTCTAAGCATCTGACGTCTTAGAAGACTTTCTGAGTTCTGTCAGTCATGTAGGGAGGGACATTGAAACTCAGTGAAGCATAAAACTATGTATTAAGTTATCCATTCTGTTCTTCTATACTCATAGGTTGTTTGAAACAAATGAAAGCCACAAACTGGCCAGAAAGTGTTGGTTAGAAAAGAGTGTTTCTACACATGTAATTGCAAAATTTAGCAAGAGAGATAAAAGAATTAAAATTATAATTTCGGCATGGTAGATAAATCATGAACTTTTAGCTAATTAATTTTAGTGCACTAAACTTCATTCCAAATTAAAAAAAAGAAAAAGAAAAAGAAAAAGAAAAAGAAAAAGAAAAAGAAAAAGAAAAAGAAAAAGAAAAAGAAAAAGAAAAAGAAAAAGAAAAAGAAAAAGAAAAAGAAAAAGAAAAAGAAAAAGAAAATGTTGGCTAGAAAAAACTTCACAATTTTAACTATTTAATGGAGGAGTCATAGGAATTCATTCCCAGACCAAGTAAGTATCAGGATGGCTCCCATGAGACCACTTAAGGTTACTTGCAGAAAATGTTATACCTGGAAAGGAATCCAGTGGCAAATAAGGGATAGTAAGAAAACCAGTGCAGACCATGACAGCATCAAAGACGGCTGATTCTTGCTTCCCTTCGTGCAAAGTGACCACCTCCCATTGACCAGAGAAAGTAAAATCTGGGCGTTTTGTTACACTGCAGACTTTGGTCTAAAAAAGGAATCACAAACATGATTAGCAGTTGTCAAATTTCCATTAAGCGGTTGCTGGTTGAAGTCCCAGTTGACATTTTAAAAATTCTAGAGTACAGACTAAACATAGCTAATAAGCATAACCCTAGAAACCTTACTGGGCTATCAGACTAATCATGATTTCCTGGATGGAAGTATTCTAAGCTTGGACTTGTGGAAGGGTATCTAAAAGAAGCGATGGGATCCAAAGATTTTAAGTGATTTGCTCAAATTCTCGTAGCAAGTGCTAAAACCAAGATTATAATCTAGGTTTTTGATGTCTTTTTAATTATTCTTTCTGTTATGCAATTTTATTTCTGATAGAGCTGCCTCTTTAACAACAGTTCCTTTAATAGAGACATGGATGATATATAATTGAAAACATAAATTTGGTCCCAAGTATCTTAACTTAATGATAGATCTTATAGAATACAATGCTGAAGTTTTTCTAGATCTAGAGAGGTATTGAAAGGTGCTAACTTTGGGCCGGCCCCGTGGCGCACTCGGGAGAGCAGTGGCGCTCCCGCCGCGGGTTCGGATCCTATATAAAGATGGCCGGTGCGCTCACTGGCTGAGCGCGGTGCGGGCGACACTGAGCCAAGGGTTGCATCCCTTTACCAGCCATCTCTGCTTGGCGCGGCTCCTCACTGAGACGTGCCATTTGCTTACCTTGACGCGAGCTCTCTTTGCTTCATTTTTGATGTATGCTATTGGGTAAGGTGGTCCAAGCTCCTCAATTTATGGATGAAAAAACATGCTTAGCAAGGTTAAGTGGGAGGCCCAACATTTTAAGCTAGTTAGTTGGATAACCTGGTCTCAAGCTCATCCTTTTCAAATGAGCACATTGGATCAGTTGCTTTCAGGGTATACTTTATTCTAATCTAATATAACTTGTCTAACTTCAGAGGGCAGATCCAGGACTGTGGGAGGTAAGTGAGTTTACTGTAAAATGATTATTAGTATCACTCCGTGTCATATGCATGCAGACTCTCCCAAAATTCTACTCATTCCTCCAGTATAGGCTGCATGTTGTCTTATCTACCTCTTAGCACCCAGTGCAATATACTATAGGTGCTGAATAAATGCAGTTTACTCCTTTTGCCATAGAACTTTCTGGATTCTTGGGGTGACCCTACACCAGGCACTCCTTTCTGGGAGTTTGGGTGGCTGGCTGCTGAGGGCTTTGTTCTGCAGGCAAGAACTGACAAAGGATTGGGTTGTCTTGTGGGATAATCAGCATCCTTCACTGACTGTTTTCCATCCGAAGCTATTGATCCTCTCTCAGGGATGTTAGAGAACAATTTCCTGCATTAGGAAGAAGACTGGACTTGGTTCTTTGCAATTCAATGATTCCATTCTATGGCAGTTTTCAGGATATGCTTTACCTTAATTTGACATGACTTGTGTAAACTCTCGGGGGCAGATCCAGAACCATCGGAGATACATTAGTTTGTCATAAGATGAGTCTTGGGATCACTTCAGGCCATATCTAGATGATTTGGAGAGAGGTTTCCTAAAGTTTTAACTTTTTTAGTGCTTATGCAAACGAAGTAAACCAAACCATTGCATTTCATATTCTTTTGAATTGAAGTCCAGTTGAAATTTGGCATAGATTAACATGGATTATTGTTGCAGAAGCCATATAAAGAAACTGAGACCCAAAGATGTTTTAACTTGTCTTCCAAGACTCACCTCCCTGCTGACTACTGACTCAGTACCTCTGATCTAGCTAATTGCTATGGCTCATATAAAACAGACAAATGCAAAAAATTAAGTTACTTTTTCCTTTATTCATAGATTGACCTTTATGGCCTCTAAACTCAACTTTGGCAATGTGCTGCTTCTAAGGCTTGCAACTTGTCTAAGCATCTGACGTCTTAGAAGACTTTCTGAGTTCTGTCAGTCATGTAGGGAGGGACATTGAAACTCAGTGAAGCATAAAACTATGTATTAAGTTATCCATTCTGTTCTTCTATACTCATAGGTTGTTTGAAACAAATGAAAGCCACAAACTGGCCAGAAAGTGTTGGTTAGAAAAGAGTGTTTCTACACATGTAATTGCAAAATTTAGCAAGAGAGATAAAAGAATTAAAATTATAATTTCGGCATGGTAGATAAATCATGAACTTTTAGCTAATTAATTTTAGTGCACTAAACTTCATTCCAAATTAAAAAAAAGAAAAAGAAAAAGAAAATGTTGGCTAGAAAAAACTTCACAATTTTAACTATTTAATGGAGGAGTCATAGGAATTCATTCCCAGACCAAGTAAGTATCAGGATGGCTCCCATGAGACCACTTAAGGTTACTTGCAGAAAATGTTATACCTGGAAAGGAATCCAGTGGCAAATAAGGGATAGTAAGAAAACCAGTGCAGACCATGACAGCATCAAAGACGGCTGATTCTTGCTTCCCTTCGTGCAAAGTGACCACCTCCCATTGACCAGAGAAAGTAAAATCTGGGCGTTTTGTTACACTGCAGACTTTGGTCTAAAAAAGGAATCACAAACATGATTAGCAGTTGTCAAATTTCCATTAAGCGGTTGCTGGTTGAAGTCCCAGTTGACATTTTAAAAATTCTA